GACGGCAGTCGCTTGGTGGCAACACGTGATCAATGAAATACGCGTGTGATTCTCAATTCTCGTTTCATCGCACGAGTTTAAAGTCAGACAAACACCTCGATCAAATCTTGAACCTCATTCGCCGAATTTCATTTTGCTGAACACGCACGTAGCAACCACGTGACGAATAAAGGTAACAATCACAGGCGCGTCCTACCCTGCGTGTTCCAGGTCCTGCAGAAAGACCCGAAAACGGACTCGCGCATGCGTACAGGGATACATCACAAGATCGCAAAGAACAACGCCGGAAGCTGCCATCCACATCTGCGGAAGGGGATCAATAGCGCGCCGACGGTACCGTCGACAACAAAGTTCTACGTGCATCTCGGCGACTCGCTCTACAGAGAAGGAAAACACATGAAGTGAATGCGCTATTATTTTGTGACCTAGTATCTCACGCGTAAATGCACTGCGGATCACGTAGATAGTGGCGGAAAGCCTGTGACGAAATAGCGTAATATTGCTCTATTATAATATAGGCTACATAATATATTATATATATATATAATATATATATATATATATATACTAAAATCTCTAATCTCACTAGTAATCTACCTCAAATTTGACCCTGGCAAATTTAAATTGTAGAATCGAGCAAAAAAGGACAGACACGGGCCTATATAATATCACATATAGGCAATCACGCGAGTTTTACGTAGTGGACGCTCGCGATGCCTGTTAGTAACGAGAATATTTTAGTCGCGGTGTTTTTCGCTGCAGAAAAAGGTCCGTCGGCGATATCAATCCACAGATGGGAGTGTCTGGGGACGGCGAAGCGGCCGTGCGCCATGACAGCATAACCACGAGCGGGGTTTTTTGTTGGTCAATATTACCCGTCGCCTGAATTCAGTCAGCACGTGGTTTGTTCAATCAACGCGAAATTGAATCACCTCAGTAGATCACGTTAAAAAACAGTTCGCTGTGAAGCTACTGGCGTGTGTACGCGGGTGTCTATAATAACGAAGAGCTTACGTAAACCCCAGAGACGCAGACTGCTAGCAGACCTCGATATAAAGTCTGCTAGTGTACGCGGTGTCAGCTAGAAGGCTTCGCGATCTCAACACTTGCTTAGCTAAAACCACTACTCTAACTAAGGGTGTCTACGCCCTAGTTACAGCCATGACCCTAGCTATACCCATGGCGCTAACTACACCCATTGCGTACACCCATGACCCTAGCTATACCCATGGCGCTAGCTATACCCATTGCGTACACCCATGACCCTAGCTATACCCATGGCGCTAACTACACCCATGACTCTAACTACAGCCACGACCTTAGCTACATTAAGTTGGCGTGTGCCTTACATGTTCAGTCGCCATTTTAACGTTAATCCGGCATGTCAAACGCGTGTCAGTATATCCCCCTGACGCCCCCTCTAATATGTACCGAGCAAACTCAGGACAGTAACCACGTACTAAAGTAAAAAACGCCAAGCATAAAGCATATGCCAACGGATGCGAGAAGGGGCACAGGGCAATCGCACCTTTTCCTACTCGCCTGCACGGACGCAAGCAACGCGTCAAAGTGAACCAATCTCACACCGAGAGACATTTATCATTCTCTAGGGCGTTGCAGTATCGCGCAGGCAGATTGCCGCGCTAGCGAAATTCTTTTCCCAACAGTGCGAGTCATTATAATCGAAGCGTTCTATTAATCAACGTCTTGTTCGAAAAATCGTCTGCTAGCTACTTCTCACCAACAGTGTCGCACCAGGGGGTGTTTTTTAGCGATGAATATCCCCTGTAGCCAAATATATTATACGCGAAGACATTTTCCAATACCAAAGCGAACGTTGTGGAAAACTAACGAAGTTAACGTTGGAGCCGATGCTATTATATGCGAAGATATTTCTCGCTAACGAACGTTGTCTCGCAAGAAACGCTCCCGGCTTCGGAGAACGCCACGCAGTCAAAATACCCCCTTAGTTATCTTTAGTAGTTATCTTTAGACATCCACCCCACCCCTCCCACCGTCTTATGCGTGCGTGCTTACGTCATGTGTACGTACGTATACGCGCTAGCTCTCATCATTCTGCGTTCTTCGCCGTCGGATGTTTTGCAGGCGTACCAGCTGTATAAGGACGGAGCGAGGCAAGGGCTCTTCCCATCCATGTATCAGCGCTCTCCTAACGTTTACAACGTCGGCGGGCTGCGAACGAAGCCGTTCTGGAGCGAGAAGGATTTCCATCAGAAACTCGCCATACTGGTAGGTTCGCCTCGCAATGAACTATACAGGGAATCTTTTGGAGCGTTTGTTTGCAAACGAATCCATCTAATTCCTTGCCGATCGAACGATCGATCGGAACTCCTGATCCGAGCGATCGATTTCCCGTCGCGAATACAGTGGTTTCCCAGCTTTATAGCGAGAGCTCGTGAGCGATTAAGCGGTGGTCCCGATTAAGCGGTGGTCCCGATTAAGCGGTGAATACAGTTTCGAGTCGCACATGCGTGCCTCGTTCGGTATTCGTACTTTAAGGAATCGCCTGCTCGAACTATGCACTGTGTAACATACACAGCGTACATGCAATACTAATAATATTACAGCTTTACAACGTTTTGTGACCTTATTATGCTCAGAATTTGCTCAAACAAATCCGGCAGTTAGTTTGCTTTTCTATTTAAGATTGTTTTACAACGATCAGAAGTTTGCGCTGCAGAAAATATCCTGCTTAAGAGGGGGTCCGTCCCTCTTATCTGACTAAAATAACGAGCGTATGGCTAACCCGAAATTACAATGAAACACGGAGACGGTTCCTTCATGGGATATATTGTCTTTAATGCGTTAAGACGTATACTTGACGATTAACTGAAAGATAATAACCAAGAATACTAAGTACAAAGCATTCAGAAAATATCAGAAGTTACTATAAAGAATCTAAACAGTTAAATAATTACGTTACCAGAGATAACATCAATATACTAAACACGTGCTGAATATACGCACAATACTCATGAAAGCCACCGGCTGTTTAATAACTCTGCTAGAACATGCACTCTTTAAATAGGTAAATCAGCATATAGGCTGTACACTTTCACAATCACTCGTCCCTGATAGAATTTATTTATGATACTCTATTACTTACAACATACGATAAAATACGACATACTGATGGATACTTCCATTATAAACTAATTCTCACCGAAACAGTTTCCCTCCGTCTCCAGTGAAAGAACTGCCATATGTTTTCGGCGTTATAATCCTGCCTGTACTACGTACACCACATAGCCCACTCTATAGTGTCCGCATATAGTCTCGTAAAACGTATTATCCGGTATTCACTACCACGTGATACTTGATCTCAAGTGAATATTATTGACCAATAGCACTAAAACACGACGTACGGTCAGTCCGAGGCACGCTAGCAAGGTCAATGAGTGACTCTATTACAACTAGGACTTCTGTACAAATATATACGAAATTTGGTCTCAACAGTGCGTAAGTGCGCTAAATCTCGCGTGTTTCAAAGACACATGTCGTTCAAGTGATGCGCTCTTTATCCGGGGCCTGATAAAGCGGGGACCACTATTACCACAAACTGTATCAATCAATGCAATACCGCGGAAGTAACCATGAGATATAGCCATATATATATATATATATATATATATATATATAACAACGTTTTACGCCGTGGATATAAATACAATCTCGCGTGTTTTTGTCTATATCTCTGGTTACATGCAATTCGAAGCGAGGAGACAAGAACACCCCGTAGAATCTTGATGCCGAATTTTATCTTCTTATATTATCTAACGCTGCATACCATCAATAAAATCCAGTCGTAAATAACCCTCCATGTCACCACGAGAATAAAAGCGCATCGTATTGGCGCCTCTATTAGCATGCCCTCTATTATCGCGAAACTGCGCCCAAACATCATTGTCATATATCGACCGGTCACTGATTGAATAGCCCTCTAATTATATTCATTGTATTGATGTAGACTTCGAATAGCGCGTGTTAAGTAGGCCCGTGTTGATATAAAACCCCGCTGGGAGACACGGCGCGGGCCAAACGCGAACGCTTCGCCGCTGTACCGTATGGGTACTAGGATATATTGTGGCCAATCACAAATACTCTTCGTAAACATTTAGTAAAAACCCCCATTTGGCTTAAAACAGCAACTATACCTTATATGGCGAACGCTGGCTAATACCCCCCCTCCCTCCTACAAAAGAACAACACCGCCAGCATCAGTGGCGCCACCGGCAGCCGTACACACGAACTAAAAAAGAAAAAAAATGAAAAAAAAATAGATTAAATCTCGAATATATAATCATAAATAAGAAAAACACAAATGAACTAATAAAAATTTATCATAAATGGTGAATTTTATATTAATACGTAGCTAAATAGAATACACTGGCAGCTACTAATCTGGCTTCCTCTCTGGTTGACAGTCGCTGGAGGACAATTGGGAGGTGATCCGAGATGAAGCAGTGAGAGTGTACGAACGCGACGAAAACTTCAAGGTGGAAGGAATCAGCTACACAGAGGGAGACTGGAAGCGATTCTTCCTCTACTCGAAAGGTGTGTAGCATCGTACGGACAGGAAAGAAGGAGGCGTAGAATATAGTGTATATATAAAGGAAGGCAGGGTATGTGGTATGTAGGGGCTCTGTACCATGGGCAGTGCGAGTTTGGTGAAATTTATATACCGTGCATGTGTGATATAAATATTCAGTGGAAGGCTGGGTGTGTAATTTGTAGGGTCTGAAACATTGGCAGTGGGGCCTGGGTACATGTCGTAAAATTATATAGGCTTCGTGATATGAGCAGTTGAAGGCTGCGTGCGTGCATGCGTGCGTGCGCGCGCGCGCGCGCGCGCG